CTGGACGCGGATCAATGATGCGTCCGACTATCGATGAGGAGTCCGACTGTCTACGGAAAAAAAATTTGCTCCGGCGCCCCCTAAAAGCTTTTACGTCCCGGGGGCCAGGATTGCCGTTGAAATGCATATACATATAGTTTATTCAAACAGAGCTGCCAATATTGGTACATAAAGTACAAACATATTAAATTTACAGAAAAACTAGTTTAAGAATCAGGACATAGAATTATGCTAGTTACAATTTATCTGCAAAATTTGTTAGGATATCGAAGCAATACTTGGCTACCAATGGCAATTATGCATGTCCCCACGGGATTCGGTGTCTTTCGTTGCAATAACATACATGCATAAGCAAGTCATGATTATTAAAAGCGAAACGAGTGACATATTTGGTTAAGCGAACAGATAAAATCTGCCCTGGGATCAGTAAACCTTGTATTATTGCACCGCATTAAATAAAACAGTCACATACGAGCAGTTGTGTTCAAATCGCCGCTAGTGACACGAGAAAAGAAGAAAACAATTATTAAATTCCAAAAGCGACATGACATCGTTTTCAAGTGGCGATATTATGCATTTGTTTTTTTACCGAACCAGCTAAGCGACATAGACATTAATTGGTAAATCTCCAATCTTTCTTAAATTACGCACTAGAGATGTTGTTGGTGATTTTCTCTTCCTGATATGAATGAATGAACTCGCTGCTAATTGCTAAACATATCCATGGATCGCCGTTTTGGAATTTCCGAGTCACTCAATAAGTAAAGTCTCCCAGAGGGAGAAAAACCGCTGATAAAATTGTGCGAACCGAGCCTCAACGTGCACTCAATATTGAAAGCACAAGAGTATAGTACTAAAATGGGATTACATGTATATAGGCGGCTTTTTTTCTACACCAATTACCGGAACTTAATTCATTGTGTACTCAAAGCCGTCGTTGTCACCGCATTATATCGTAATACCTCTATTTTCCCAAAGGCCAGGCGTATATAAGGATCGAAATAACCATAGAGTTTTTGTACTTGATCTGTAGCATCTATTCGCATTTGCTACTCAGTCGTTAAAGCCGCAACAGGAATCACGGTCGCCGCACGTCGGAAATTATATTGAGACCGCTTTAGACTTTCCCGCACGCCCCGAGGTTAAATAAGCTGATAGCCGTAGTTTTAGCTAGACTAGTCTTGTTTGCTTTATTTAATCTAGTATATTTAACACATCTTTTCGTCGTATTTACAATTTATGCAAATAGGGTATATTATTTAAATTGACTCATTTGCTTGTGATACAGAATGCATGGACGTAGATTATATATATTCCTCGATCGATACTGGTTCTCATACAGATGTATTTCGATCGTATCTACACTACTGATCTTTGCCAAGTACAAATATTGGTGTACACGTGAAAAAGATTTCTCCAGTCCAAATACTTTATGACAATTATATTTCTGACTCGGTGTCACTATAAGCACTGTATTGGACTTTGGACAAAGTCAAGCTTTATAATATAACTTATAAGAGTTCAAAGATGGATAAAGAAACTCTTTGCAATCATGGAATTATTTAAAACTTCAATGTTGTTCTAGTGGCACAATAGAAATATTCTTGTAGTAAAAAATATAAATTTAAGTCAGTATTTAATGCCCGATCCTAAACCAAACCCTACGTATCAGTCAACAAATTTTAATTACAATATGGCCATGTACTGGCGTAATTACGTGACAGACAATATTACGCTGCAGTGGACGGGTATTCCAGTAGAATCGTATGACTCAATGCTGAATGACTTTAATTAACTCAGTTTGTTTCCTTTATTTATAAGGATACATGCATTCGAATACGCTTGAAAACACTACACATCGCTTAATTAAGGTGACTATTTCAATAGAAATCTGATGAACAGCACTTACCCCTTCTTCGGTGTCGGCGCATAATCGACCGATGGAGTGTTTGATCCGTTACCACTGTTCAGAAGCGGCGTTTTCTCCGTGGCCATCTTTGAGAAGATATGATGTATACCGTTCAAAATCTGCCTGTCTTCGTGAGTTGGCCTTCCTGAATAGTAATAGTTTGTGCGCATGCATGCATGAAAAATTATACAAACTTAACTGTTGTTGAATTGTCATAATTTGTTAGCACCGGATTGTATTAGCAATTCAAATTCTAACACAGTGTTGTCGAAGATCGTGTGACTTTTCATGACAAGCTTCGTGTTCAAATCTTTACAAGAAACGGATAGTTTCGCTTAATTTTAAATAATGAAAATCCATTCAGAAAAAAGAGGAATTTCCCAACGGAGATGAGAACGTTCCGCCAACAAATACTCGGGTTCGATCCGGCATTGTGAAATCTTATCGCCGTACTTATCGACGTTACGTGGACAATACACCGATGATACACCGAGATAGCCTACGGTTAGACCGTAGGCCGCTAACGCCCGTATTCTAAAAGCTCACTCACACTCACACTCAATGAGTGGAGGTTCAATCTGAGCTTCTCTCGAGTGTCATTGCTGTTTTTGAATAGCTGGAGAGTTAGTGTCGTACCTTAATATGTGACTACTCACCCTCCAGCTACTCAAAAACAGCATTGACACTCAAGAGAAGCTCAGATTGAACCTCCACTCATTGAGTGTGAGTGTGAGTGAGCTTTTAGAATACGGGCGTAAGTGTTAGAGCGCGGTAGCGGAATCGCAGGTTCAATTCCTGCCACGGACCTAAAGTTCCATTTTTCGCTTCTGTTCCTGGTTATGTCTAATAAATAATGTACCTCGGCAAATTCCATCCACAATACCCATCAAGTTGTCTTGAATAAACCTTGACATTCCTTTTGTTTAATAGCGTTGACAATGACTTTAATGACTTTAATAACTGTAGACACTTTTGAGGATTGCATATAGTGTATTTTTTGGATTCCGAGATCACAGCCGATTCTGGCACTGATTTATGTTTTCAAGCCGACACACACCAGTCACTCAGTACACGCTGCATTATGACAGTTTTGAACTGTGGGCACGTAAAACAACCTGAATTAAATCGCTTTTTACCGTGTTGTACAGATTTGCAGAAATTCAATGCATATTTCGTAACAAACATGTAGATTGCACAAATCACTAAATTTATATCTTGGAAGTTGGAATGGTTTTAATAAAAATACCCAACCTTCTATGATCCCCAAGTTGGTAAGCAAGTTAAAAGAACGACAGAATTTGAACGAAAACAACTTGGTTAAAGAAATCGCCACTGCCAAATATTTCACCCAAATCTGGTTGAGAATTCCTTTCCTGGGTAAACAGGGCAAGTTTCTTGTAAAAAGGTTAACTTAAAAAAATCCAACGGAGTCGGTCAGTTAAATTTATTGTGATTTACCAAACGAAAAAGGTGTTATATTTAATTTTCTATGTAAAAAAGATAAAATTCCGGACATATCCCGAAGTAATTAGTATAGGTAATTGCATGGGGCCGAGTAAAGTTAAGGTTTACGCCCGTATTCTAAAATTAAGCTCACTCACACTCAATGAGTGGAGGTTCAATCTGAGCTTTTCTTAGGTGTCGTATTGCTGTTTTTGAATAGTTGGAGGGTAAGTGTAGCACCTTACTATGTGACTACTCATCCTTCAGCTATTCAAAAACAGCATTATGACACTCAAGAAAAGCTCAGATTGAACCTCCACTCATTAAGTGTGAGTGAGCTTTTAGAATACAGGCGTTAATTTCACGCGTGTTTTCAAAGTTTCACAACGCGACGAGGGCAATTTTTGACTTTTAAAACACAATTGAAATCAAACCTTAAAGTGGAAGTCAAGTCCGTAATGTAAACAAATGGTTTGTTTACATTTTGAACTGCTGTATTTTTTAAAATATGATGTACTGTCTGAATATCTAACACCATTTTGGTTCGCTATGCTTCTAAATGAATATGAAATAGAGTTTATGTTCAGAGAAATTCGAAACATTCGAAATTTGGGCAATGTTCACATTAGAGGTCCATGTCTCCATGTCTTCACCGATGTTCCTTAATGCTGCACATTTCTTAATTACTCCAACCCATAATTCCATAAATTTGTACTTTTTCTATAGTGTTGGAGTTTTCACCAGAAGTTTTTAATTCTTCATAACATCATTATTCGCAACGATTTAAAAGAAGAAACTTCCCGCGCTTACGTCTCAGACAATCAGGTACAAGTAATTTTGCCCTGAATAACTGAATTAAGAAAAAATGCCCTCATCATTATTAGCCAATCATATTCAAGTAATTTTGCCCTCTACATGATTATAAGTTTATATGTTTAGTTCTCCTGGTTGCAATAGTCGGAGCTTATATACGCAAAATGGAAAGGAATTTGGCAACACGGCTTTTAGAACATTCGCATCCGCTTAAAATAAGTGCTTTTTAAAACATTTGACAATCTCCATGACAACCTCGATGACTGTGACATTCATCAACCTGGCGTGCCAATTTCTCTCCTTGATCTTATAATCACAAACACTAAAATTCTTCATTCTCTCCAAAATACTAATTCCAATCTTTTACTGTTTCTCGAAGCTCTGTATATAACGTTAACGTTTTGTAAACCAGAACTTAATAGTTGTCTAAAGGCATCGAAAGAACTAACTGTTTTTCCGTTATTTATTTGCTTTTAAATATAGCGCCTCATATTTCTCTCTTCCGTTTTCAGTTGATTACGTCATCTTTCCATTTCAATTCGCCTAAAGATCTGAGCACGCTATATAGTGTTGTAATTAGTTTGGTTGTGCAATGGTCCCGAAATAGTCAAAATATCGTCACCATAATTTGTGTCTTGAGTTTCTATAAATAACTCACATCTTTAGTTTACGAGATAGTATTACTATTCGGAGTATGTTCTTTCTTATATTTCTTAAAATTGTGAAAGATTACAGAACTCATGCTTGCCTGGTGTGGACACACTCAGAAACAACATCACAATTTGCAAACGAAAATTCAAGACCCTAAAGATCGCCCAAATAATACATTTTCATTTAAACACAGCATGAAACTGCTCTTTAAGGAGAGCTACGAAAACATTGATCATTTTATCATATAATCTTATACGGTAAATAATATCTTTTACATGTAATATAGTATAATAGTCTCTTATCCTAAGTTTAGCAATATGTACAGTATATAAACGTTACTTCATAGGTTCATAGATAGTATACACAAGTAGTATAGTTTGAGAGCCACAAATTTATCAGTGCAAACTGGCATGTGTTTAACTCTCGTTAAATAAAGTCTTCATTCATTCATTCATTCATTCATTCATTCATTCATTCATTCATTCATTATATATATATATATAAAAATTATATATAAAAATTACAATAATACGCGTCACAGGGATCACGCTATAATCCAATGGTGGAATATGATATATATATACATAGTCAAATGTTATTCCAAATGGCAAAGTTGTCAAAAACTATACCAACATGTAGCGAATGATAAAAACAATAAAAATCCAAAGTATAAAAATGTTTTGAAATACGTAGAACCAAGATGATTGGAATCATCAATGATTCCAATGTTAAATCATTTGGTAATACAATTAAAACTACATCATTGGAGGATGTAATTTACAACAGTAATACTGCAGAGTCTTATAACGAATTCTTCAATAAATTCTCTACAGCCTATGAAAAAAATTTCCCATTAACAAAAAAAGTATCAAAAAGGAAATTTGACAAAAGTAAAAGTCCATGGATGCCAAAATGCATTGCAAAATGATCAGTTCAAAAAAAGAACAAACTTTATAAGAAATTCCTAACTTGCCCTGTAATAAAAAATGAGATTATATACAAAAAATATAAAAATAAATTGAATCATGTAATAAAAATAGCAAAAAAGGAATATTATGAAGAACAACTGATAAAATACAAGCATAACACAAAATGCTTATGGAAAACAATTAATGAAATTATGAATAAACATAGAAACAATAGAATTTTACTAAAGGAATTCAACGGAGACTCTTCAGATGAAATCATTGATGATCCATACAAAATAGCAAATAAATTCAACGAGTATTTTGTAAATATTGGACCAGGTCTAGCAAAAAAACTTCCAGACAGTGAAATAACCTTTGACAAATATCTGACTAATAAGAATAAGAATAATTTTTTTATTGAGCCAGTAACCAAATATGAAATCGAAATTGAAATACAAAACTTAAATTCTAAAAAAGCCCAGGCTATGATGGTATAAATTCACAAGTTATTAAGACAATTGCTAAGGAAATTTCTGAACCCCTGTCACACATATTCAACTTGACTTTCCTTAGTGAAATTATTCCTAATGGCCTAAAAATAGCTCTAGTTACCCCAATTTACAAAGCAAATCGAAAAAATTAATTCAAAAATTATCGACCAATTTCTGTACTCTCTTGTTTTTCTAAATTACTAGAAAAACTAATGTATAAGAGATTAATTAAGTTCATTGAAAAAAATAAATCATTAACACATAGTCAGCATGGTTTAAGAGAAAATAGATCCACCGAGCATGCAGTCATTGAACCAACCTCGTACCCAGGATCTTTCTTTGGGAAAGACCCTGGCTGCGGCTGGTCACGTGACTCTTCAAAATTTGATTGCCTAAGGGGGTGTGGGCAAAGTATCATATTACATGCTTCCATTTGAAAACTACAAACTTCATAATTTCCAGCAAAGGTCAAATTTAAATAAGGAGCGGCGATGATGTTGGAATACATTGCTTTCTTTTACTGCTTGAAATTTGCGATTGAAAATAGTTTGTATCGCGACACGATATTAAAACCAAAGCAAATTATAT